GAATGTCTCGCCGAATTCACATCTAGGTAAGGTGCTAGAGAAGTTTTCAAATGCAATAGCTATTGCAGAGCAGACCTTACTCTTCAAGGATTAAAATTGAAAAAATTACGGAACATGGCTGCATGAAAAGCAATCGAAATTCGAGAAATTTTCCAAAGCGGCCTAGTTCAAAACTCAACGCAGTCGGTAACATAAATTAACAGCAAAATAATTCAGCGGGATACGCCAGAGATCAAAATGATTATCCGGTGTGAGCATTAGAATCTTGAGACTGAGTAAACGGTGGATGAGTTGCTGGAGATCTGGTACCCGTTCATGAGACTATCAAACGCCATCTTCACAAGAGGACACTGCGGTGCTAGCTTCAACGTCAACAACGGATACAACATGATAGCTTTTCTAGAGCAGCAGTGCTATTAGTACACCCAGGGGCATTAGGGATAGGCTGCAGACTTGGCCGAGAACGTCGACTCATACACTTCCTCGCTCTCTTCTCCTCCATCTCCCTCGTCTGTTCCGGCGAGTGGATGAAAATTCACAGGGGACTTCCCCAGGCGATGAAATCCGTCGGCGCTCGGTGATGGAACATCGCCGAAATAGCAAATGGACGCAAGTTGAAGAAGGAATATGGCAACGGAGGAAAAGCAAACGGCAAGAAACGTCCACTGGCTACCGACCCCATCAATCAGCGCGCCGCCGACGAAATTCCCCAGCGCATAGCCCAGTCCGTACATGAGAGTGTGCAGGAGACCGATCATGAGCGACTCCGTGCCGGGGCTGCTGAGTGGTACGAATATAGCCTGCACGCTGGCCCACAGTAAGCCATGCATGCCGCCCATCACCGGCTGAAATACCAGCACCTGCCATGGCTGCGTGACAAGACCCACACCGCCAAAGTACACGACCTGGCACACAATGCCGATCAGCAGAACCTTCTCGGCAGTGAGGCGGCGGATGGCGGCTGGTGCAAGGATAAACGCGGGCACGTCACTGGCGGCAGATATGAGCGAGGCAACGCCCATGACCGACTGCCGCCCGCCGATGTCCTGGATGCGCCAGAACAGGAAGGAGAGGCCGACGCCGATGGCAGCGCCCGAGTGCACGATCACGACAGAGAGGAGGACCATGCGTGGCGTCAGCACCTGCTGCAGTGTCTTGCGCAGCGCCGTACGCGCCAGGCTGCTCGCATGCTCCGTGAACTCAAACAGTGCGCCGGTGACGAAGCTCAGACACAGGATAACGGCCAGAATGGAGAACACCAGCTGGTAGTTACCGGAGAGGTGTACGCGTGGGTTGTCATCAACATCGTACGATGACAACGACGACGATGAAGAGGACGAAGCGTTGAAGTACTCGGCAGCCATAGTCAACGAGAAAATGCCCAGTGCCCAGCCGGCCGCTCCGAACACGCGAATCCAGCCGAACTGGACGTAGTTCTCCCTGCCCAGGTGCGCGTACGTAGCGACATCGGCCATGCTGGTGATGCCTGCGCCCAGGCACTCGTTGAGCAGCACCAGCGACAGCAGCACGGCAAACGTCTGCGACAGCGTCAGCCTCAGTGCTCCGTACTTGACGGACGTGGGTTGGGCCGCGAGCACGTCCCTGCAACCCACCACGTCTGTGGAGTTTGCTGTGGAGTTTGCCGACGGCACCGTGTAGTTAACAATCTGCGAACCAAACCCAGCGGTCATACTGTGCGTGGAGCTGCTGCTGCTTGTGCTTGTGTGCGTACTTGCACTGGGTACAGTGTCTGAGTAAGGATGTAAAAACTGTGCTTGCAATCCACTAGTACTGTCCGTACGGTTGTGATCAGGTTTACAATCTAAACTAAACTCTGGCTTGAAGAAAACGATCGCCACGCTCAGCAGCAGGTGCGACGTCACTCCCAGCAGCAGAATTGGCTTTTTCAGACGCTGGAATCGGTCGGCGATGTGCGTCCACACCGCCACTGCCACACCGGCCACGAGCGGGCGCGCACCCGATATGATGCCCGCCTGCGTCGCCGTCAGTCCAAGATAGCGCGCGAAGGTCGCCAAGAGCATCCAGAACGTCCCCAGCATGGCGAACGTCAGGAAATAGTACATCCGAGACACACATAACTTTGGTATTCTGTCGCCGCATCCGACACAGCCGGCACCGTTCGGAAATCCACCTATGCCGTGATCCGACATTCTTCACCAGCTGTCACTGGCCGACTAGCGTCTCCCCAGATGCAGCCTACGAGCACCAAGCGAGCCGAGGGTAAACCCTCTTTTCCAGCAAACGAAACACTTTCACAAGCACAACGCAACATTACGTTGGTATCAGCGTTGGTCTTCAACCAAGTGCCGACAACCGCCGTCCCTCTAGTACTCACTAGGCCTAGGCACTACATGTATACAGGACACACAACTGCGAACAGCCGACAGCAAGCAGTAGTACTGCACTCTGCAGCATGCAGCGAGATCTCGAAAACGAAGCAGCGAAACAAAAACAAAAAATGTTTTCCCCAGAAAACATTATTTTTTTGGTTTAGCATGCTCAAAGAAATCCGATCTCGTGAGTCATGGATGCGCCAAGACTCGTGGACATGCACATACTGACATAGCCTGTGCAGCCCTAGCCTCTAGCCTAGGCTCTAGCCCTAGACCACGTCGCTACTACAGTGTAGGACTCAGTACTGGTACTTCACTCCATTTTTTTGAAATCGCGTTTTTTCCAGATTTATCATCGGTAATCGATGGTGGTGGGTATCACAAGGTCACACAGAAAATTTTATTGAAATCCAAAGTGATACCACTCAGATATGAAGGGTTGAAGATAGGCAATTGCATGAGGCGAAATCAATACAATTTGTGGCACCAACAGCATCTCCGAAGTATTATCAGTGGATATAGTCACAAAACATCAGAGTGTTTTTTTCAAGCACACATCTGGCCAGGCGTGCTTGCAATCGTTCCAAAGTGTCAATATTCCCTGCGGTCAGTTTGTTATTCCACAGAGGTGAAGCATACTCGATGGAGGGACGGACATATCCTTTGTACAGGCGGGCAATGAGAGCAGGGGTCAGATTGGGTGACATGTAGGATAGCAGAACAACGCGACGACGAAAGTTGGAGGTGACACTATTGATGTGGGTCTGGAAGGACAGGCGGGGATCCAGGGTGATTCCTAGACGGCGGTGGGTAGTCGAGGGACATAGGTCTGCAGTATCCACACGCAGTGCTGGCGCAGGAGTCTGGGCGGGGTCAAGTTTGCCGAATACAACACGCACGGATTTAGCGGCATTAAACCTGCCACCAAATGTAGCAGCCCAGTCCATCACCGTGCACCATGTTCACTGCTGACTGGGGCTGTTGAGGTGCTGCTGCTGGCGGTCGGGATAACCCCAGCGCAGTGCCATCAGCATAGAGGTATGTGTCCGTCCTGTTGCCATCACGCCATCATGGATTGATCTCGGGAGTGTATTTTAAATATACAGGAGAAATAGGATGGGGTCAAGGTGGGATCCTTGAGGAACTCCCGTCGAGATAGGGGCGAGGGGGGAAAGGTCTTCGCCAACGTTCACCTGTAACTGGCAATTGAATTCCCATAGTTTCCCCGTTCTCTTTTTCCATCTATGCTCATCCTGTATTCATACGTCATTGGTTTGGGCTTTCCGCACTACACCTAACACGATGTGTACAGTCAGTGCTAGCAGCAGCATTGTAATGCTGCAGCCTGGGTGTGGAGTTTGATGGAGTGGACTCTGAGCCCGTGTCTTCCCGAACAACATGGAACAATGCACACCGCACCTGCAGTTTCACCATCAGCCTGCTGACGTGCTGTGCATTCTCCCCATCGCCTGTACTACATGTAGACGGTATCTGCACTGACTGCAGTGTCACTTCCGAACTACTGTAAATGCCCAATGCTTTGGAAATATGCAGTAACGACGAAGTACCGGTAGTGGCCATTTGGCCTTCCTGACAACGTCTATTCTTCGGCCGAGTTCCCATCAGATGCTGGTCCAGTCTTGTCCTTATTGTTCGCAAAGGGGAGAGCAACCCCCTCTTGGCTTTTTGGTCCCTGATTGGTTACACAACCACTGCCGCTCTATCCCTCGCCTGTTTAAAAGTTGGCCTCCAGTTTGGGGTCTTTGAGCTTGTCCGACACTAGCATCTAGCGGTATCGCTGCGTGTCTCTCTTCATCTGTTTTTTGTTCCTCATTTCAGCTTCCAATAGCTGCAACTGCATGTAGTTCCTCCACTTCAAGATCGACACTCAAGTACTCAAGTGCTTCTGAACACGTAGTACATTGTAGTCACATTCTCAAAGTACATGTACATGTAAAATACGGAACCATCGATACAGGCATAAAGTTAAACGCACGCAAATCGCTCACTGCTTCAGGAGCGGAACTTCCCCAGGACCTAGGAGAGTATTATTTTGATCCAAAATATCTGGAGCGGCGGATTGGAATGTTCCGCGTGCTACTCTCGAACATAGCTTTCTTAGGGGACGTCAGACTCAGCCAGGAGGATGAGATCGGACGCGGGTCAGATGCATCCGTGTATCGGATGCACTGGCAGGGACTAGACATCGGCCTGAAAGTTCTGCATCCTGTTTTGATTGAGCCCGGTGTTCTGGACCGAGAGAGGAAAATCCGTTCATTCGGCCAAGAGGTCTTCCGTCTCAGTCGCATCCATCACCCTAACCTTTATCAATTGCTGGGCATTGCTCGAGTTGGGCGTAACGCTGCTCTAGCGTTGGAGTTGCTGACTTCGACGTTGGAAGAGTTGAGTATTGGTGAGAGTCGGGAGAATGGCTTGAAGCTGATTACTAAGACCACTCAGATGTACCCTTTTTACGTACATGTAGGTGCGCACAAAAAGATTTAAAAAAAACTTCGGTGCGCATGCAAGCAGCTGCACGGTGACCAAACTTTGCACGAAACTAAATTCAAGGACGAGGAAGACGATGGTGGCGAATTCAAGCCGTGCAACGATGCGCAGGGGCCGAAAAAGCCAAACGAAAATAACCTACTTTGGCTCCATGGCAGCTTCGAGAAAACACAACGCAGATCGCTAGTTCAAACTCTGAACAGGGCTGTCTCTTTCCTCTTCGCCTTCTTCCCCTCCAAACATTTCAAAAATACGCATGGACTAGTGTAGCAGGTCCAGGCCGTGGAAGTAACTAAAGACTGCTTACACGCCCACGCGAATTTTTCAGCTTTAATAGTGCAGAATCATGGTCGTGTGCCACGGATGACTGGAGCTAGCTGCTATGGTCAGTCATGCCACACGACTTTAGTAGCAAGACATGCTGCTGCCCATGCACTGCTGCAGCCTAGGTGCCTAGCGCCTGGACAGGGAGGCTACGATCTTCAAATGCAGCGCTGTTGCCATAAAGCCTTAACAAATTCATTCACCTTGGGCACCCTGTAAGAAGACCTTAGGGTCTGTTGGGAATGCCCAAGTAAAATAATAAAATACAATACAAAAAAATTGCGCTCTCGTCCGCCCTAGAGATACTTTCAATTTATTATACCAGTCCTGTTCGTCTCGGAGTTGTGTTCCGAACTACAGTACTCAGTAGGTCTAGGGTAGATAAGGCTTTATGGCGAAATGAATTGGGGATCTGATTTGTGCGAAGGGATTGGGGAAGCGCATTAAAGCGGTCAACACCAAGGAATGAAATAGATTTGTATCCAGCTTGAGCTTGCACAATGGGTACAGAAAGGGACTTGGCCGCGGGTGACTCTATCTGTGTGAGCGCCGTCACGGCGAAGGGAGAACATGTCAGAGAGTGAACTACAGATATTGTGGATGCAACGGAACACGAAGAATATGGACTTAGTATGATATCTTAGACTTATGTCTATTACTATGCTAATTATGTGGTACCGCTCAAGCAAGTATGATGTCCACGTGAATGTGTCATGCTCAAAATATGCATCTAAGTGCTCTCTTACTTATGCGTAGCAGCTGATCTCTCACGTTGTGAGCGAGGCAGTGGACGTAGGCAGTGCTGGCGTGCTCGAGCTTGCTCTGGACTACTGACAAGTAGAACTGCCTTCTGGCCTGGACAGCAAGGTTTCTCCTTCCACGTCGAAAAGCACCTAGCCAGCAGATCGTCGCTGAGATTTTACCTTTTGTAGTCTGGAAGACCATTCTCTTGTAGATCGACCAAGCGCTTGCCTTTCGGACGCACTCCACCCTCCCTGGCGCGCATGTAAAGCCGTAGGGATGGCGATATCAACGCCTGAAGCGGCGTTACTGCTTAATCTAGGCTTACGCAGAGGTCAAATCGCGTACCATGGTATTTTCACCGTCAGAGTCGAGGATGAGATTGGCCGTGGTTCGGACGCTGATGTGTATCGAGTAGTATGGCAAGGCATACCGGTAGCCGCAAAGGTGTTGCACCCCAGACATGATCCAACTGATGCGGAGGGGAGAGATAGGAACCTGCGGCGATTTGGCGCTGAGATAGCAAGACTGTCTCAACTGCACCACCCTAACTTGTGCCAAATTCTCGGTGTTGGAGTCACTGCCGATCGTTATCTTCCAGTGTTAGTAGTTGAGCTATTCGATCATACACTTTGTCAATGCAGTGTCGGTGCAGATCGGTTGGACAGTGTCGCCCTGCTATCGTTCCTGGCGGACGCTATGGCGGGTGTTCGCTATCTCCATAGCAGAGATCCCCCTGTCATTCATCGTGACCTGACTTTGCGGAATGTGTTGATCAAGGGCCAGATCGCAAAGCTCTGTGACTTTGGTTGTGCGCGACCCCGACCAACAACAAATCCTGAGGATTTGGTTGGCTTTCTTCCAGATCTAACGGCATGCCCAGGGAACGTGCTGTACATGGCGCCGGAGGCTCTGCAAAACCCTCCGGTGTACAACGAATCGCTCGACATATTTTCGTTTGGTGTGCTGGCCACGAGCGTCGTGACAGGAGTTGAACCGTCGGCAGACCTGCACACCTCACCAAGGACCATCCGACAGATTGTGCAGCGAGCAGACGGAACGAGTGAGGAGACCGTCACGGCTATCACCGAAGTCGAGCGGCGCGGCGTTGGTGAAGGAATACCAGACGGCCATCCACTCAAGCCTGCAATCTTTCGCTGCCTGGCAGTTGTTGCGGAAGAACGTCCCAAGGCTGAGGAGCTGCATGAGATATTGCTGGACACTGTGAGGGTGGCACGTGGTTTGTCTCCGGTAAGCGATAATTATGCTGATTTTTGGATTTGGATTATGCTTATAAGGGGGGGGGGGGGGGTTGTGAACTGACAACCGCTCTCTTCAGTTGCTATTCACTCTTGGCACATGCGCTGGATGAAAAATTAATAATTATTCATTAATGATGTCTAAAATTATCTTCAGTTCTGACGATGTGTTACTGGACCGAAACGTCAATAATATTTCGACATCACAAATAAAAGAATTTTATTATTCTATTTTATTTATTTCTGCACCTCGTAGCATGTCAAGACGGCCACTTGAATTGAGGAGAGGTTGAGACCAACCATGGAAGAAGAGAAAAAAGAAAGAAAAGCACGTACACAAAAGGGGTAGGGATTACTTACGGCAAGTTATAAAGCAATGGGATGCCCAGTGAGCTATGCAGCGGAAGTGATGTGGCTGTGATTTTGTTTACTGGAAGATACTGAAGTGCTGTCTGACGAGAGTACGGAATTTGGGCATATCTGGAGCTTGCCTAACACTGGGAGGCAGTTGGAGCCACGTGGAATAAGAGGAAAAGAAAGGGGAATTTGCGAATAGGGTTAGGCATGGGCGGGTAATGCTAGTTATTTGCTGCGATAATGCTAAAGGCAATGCTCATAATATGAGGATATAATGCCACTTATAATGCTCACACTACTCCATAATGCCAGTTTGAAAGTTGGAAAAGTCGATTTAAAAAGGCCGTCTTAGATCAAGGCCAAAGCGTAGAAGAAAAAAACTTAAACGGCAGCGAGCATATTGTCTGATACAATCCACTGCGAAGGTTGATTTGCAACGTCAAGTCTCCGGATGAAGCCGGACGGGTTCAGATGCACGATTTTCGGAACTGGCATTATGCCATCTGCAAAAAAGGGACTATAATGCCAGCCATAATGCTAGCATCACCCGCCCATGCCTAAATGGGGTAGACGTAGCTAGGGGGAGACGAACGCGGCTTCGGGTGGTACCACCCGACGTAAACCAATTAAGTGACTGCAAATGAGCAGGGTGCTGGTAAAGAAAAATGGAATGAACCAGGGTGTACTTGGAAGCATCAAGGTAGCGTTGCAAGGTGATAGTAGACGCAGCAGCATACAAGTCTGGATTTGAGATGTAACGATCAGTACGAAATATTATGTGCAGTACACGGCGATGGAGAACTTCTAATTTAGCGATTTGGGTTTTGTTGATGGTGGACCAAGCAGGGAAGCCGTATGTGAAGAGGGGGAGGATGTATGATTTATAAAAATTAATCTGGTAATTGTGGGGCAAATGGGAGAAGTGACTTGTCATTATGCCGACAGATCGGCACACGCGTGAGGACACATGGTCATCACGGTGAGACCAGGAGAGGGCGGAGTCTATGACAATGCCAAGGTGTTTATGATGGGGTGCTACAGAAATAGGGTGACCAGGGTCGTCGGGAAAGTGGAAGATGGGCACTGGATCTGTGGGCTGGGGAAAAAGGAGGAGCTCGGTTTTGGCCACATTTGGCTTGAGGTACCAAGTGCTCATCCAGTGGCCAATGTTCTTGATGCAGGTCTGAACTTTGTGGTAAAGGGTGGCGTGAGATGGGGAGGAAGCAAGGACAGAGGTATTGTCTGCAAACAAAGAAATATTGGGAATTGCATAAGGGAGGTCGTTAACGTATTTGAGGAAGAGCAGGGGACCCAAAATGGAGCCCTTGGGCACTCCAGACGTCACAGATTCGGGGTCAGATAAAGTTCCATTAACTGTCTCGCACTGATTTCAGTCGGAGAGATAGCTAGTTATCCAGGCGAGTAGGGTGCAGGGGACACCGTGAGCACGAAGTTTGGCGATGAGGCCCTTGTGCCACACGGTGTCAATGGCCTTGGAGACGTCAAAGAAACAGATGCAGGAGACCTGCCGCTTGTCTTTTAGAGAGCACAGGTATTGGACTATGCGGGACAATTGCAGGGATGTGTTGTCCTTACGACGGAAGCCACATTGTGAGGGGTTTTCATCCAGAGCATGCGCCAAGAGTGAAAAGGAACTGAAGAGAGCGGTTGTCAGTTGACGAAACCCCCCTTTTATCTACAATGCAGTTGCGTGATGTCCACCACTTTCTGAATACTGTAAAACCGGAAAGTTTAAAGGGGAAGTTAAGGCAAAAATTAAAATTTCACCAGTTGTAGTCTTCGGGGTGCTGAGTCGAATGGTCGTGGTCCGAGGAAGCTGAGACGCTCCCTTCCTACTTGAATCCCAATCGAACTCGCGGACTTCCACCGAAACTGGGTGACTGCGCCCTACTAGATGGGGATTTGTATGCAAAATGTCACTAAAAGCGCCATTTCGTTCTTATAAAAGCACGGATGACCGCGATTGGCCCATATGTTGTAGTCTTTTGGATGCTGAGTCGCCTGGTTTTGGTCCGAAAAGGCTGCGATGCAGCGTTCCTCCTTTATTCCCAATCGAACATGGTTGAACAAGCGGTCACGTGCTCCTGGGTGCCCAAATCACCTGGTCACCACGCCAGCAGGCGACAACTTTCACACCAAGGTTCAACTCGAGTTCAACTCGAGTGACAGGACTGCACCCAAAAAAGGTCAAACAGGCTAGTAAGTTGTACCCTGCAGGCACGGTGACCAGGTGACTGGTGTACGCAGGAGCACGTGACCGCTTCTTCAACCATGTTCGATTGGGAATAAAGGAGGAACGCTGCATCGCAGCCTTTTTGGACCAAAAATAATCGACTCAGCGTCCAAAAGACTACAACATATGGGCCAATCGCGGTCATCCATGCTTTTATAAGAACGAAATGGCGCTTTTAGTGACATTTTGCACACAAATCCCCATCTAGTAGGGCGCAGTCACCCAGTTTCGGTGGAAGTCCGCGAGTTCGATTGGGATTCAAGTAGGAAGGGAGCGTCTCAGCTTCCTCGGACCACGACCATTTGACTCAGCACCCCGAAGACTACAACTGGTGAAATTTTAATTTTTGCCTTAACTTCCCCTTTAACGAGTCACAACGTCTAACGTTTTAACGACCAATTATTTTTCGTTATTTGAAAAAAACCGTTATCGCTAGATACCTGTGTAAAGATGCGCATACAGATGGGTGGCCAGGTGGCCAGGTAGACAAAGTTAAACTTTCTGCTCGTAATCATGACAAAATTACAAAAACTTAAAACCTTTTGGTCGTTAGACTTTCCGGTTTTACAGTATAATTATCATGCTTAAAGGGGAAGTATACCCTAAATCAAATTTTCACCAGTTGTAGTCTTCGGGGTGCTGAGTCGAATGGTCTTGGTCCGAGGAAGCTGACACACTCCCTTCCTCCTTTATTCCCAATCGAACTCGCGCACTTCCACCGAAACTGGGTGACTGCGCCCTACTAGATAGGCAGGGGCGTTGGAAGGCATTTTAGTGTGGTACAGTCAGCCATCTGAAGCACAATTTACTTGTGGGGGGAGGGATGGCGGAGCCGAAAATTTGGAAATTTAGAGCCCAAATCAGTGCATTTTATTGATTTACGGGGTGCTTTGGGTAAATAGTGGTACGGTCAATAGAGTAGTGACCGTACCGTGTGCGACGCCCCTGATAGGGATTTGATGAAAAAGGTCACTAAGAACGCTGTTTCGCTCTTATAAAAGCGCGGATGACCGCGATTGGTCCATATGTTGTAGTCTTACTAGCCAAACAGGCTGTACACATGTACAGCCTGTTTGGGCCCGTTTATGTCACTCGAGTTGAACCTTTGAACCCGGGAGTCGTAAAAGCCTCTTACGACTCCCTGCTTTGAACCTTTGAGTTGAACCTTGATGTGAAAATTGTAGCCTGCAGGCACGGTGACCAGGCGACTGCTGTACGCATGAGCACGTGACCGCTTACTCAACCGTGTTAGATTGGGAATAAGGGGCGAACGCTGCATCGCAGCCTTTTCGGACCAAAACCAGTCGACTCAGTGGCCGAAAGACTATAACATATGGACCAATCGCGGTCATCCGTGCTTTTATAAGAACGAAATGGCGTTTTTAGTGACTTTTTCCATACAAATCCCTATCTGGTAGGGCGCAGTCACCCAGTTTCGGTGGAAGTGCGCGAGTTCGATTGGGAATAAAGGAGGAAGGGAGCGTCTCAGCTTCCTCGGACCAAGACCATTCGACTCAGCACCCCGAAGACTACAACTGGTTAAAATTTGATTTTAGGGTATACTTTCCCTTTAAAAGAAATCCCGATAGAGCTAGAAATCGATGACGTCGAAAATCGTCGAAAATCAATATCCAATGAGAAAATTAAAATCGACGTTTGGATCCACTCTGCCAATGATGAAAAAAATCCGGCCAATCACGACAGGGCTAGAAATCGATGACGTCGAAATCTGACGATAAATGAAGACGTTTCGATCCACTCTGCCAATAACGAAAAAAATCCGGCCAATGCTGCACATGATAGTCGACTATGCTGCATGCAGCATTTGCTGGATTCTTTTTACTAAGACCTGTCTAGTAAGTAGCATAGGATGTGGTAGTAGGACCCCTTGTCTAGTATAGGATGTGGTAGTAGGACCCCTAATCTTGCATTTACATGTAGGTATAATATTTTCCGAATCAGGATTTGGTCCCTGCCGGAGAGGTGGCGCAGTCCAGTCAATACCGGCTGGTGTGTTATCCTGATGTGAAGGGAAAGCACCCAAACACATTGTGTGGATACATAAGAACTGTACACAAGTGCATCCAAATGATCGTCCGCTTGATATCTTCTCGTTCGGAGTTACGCTACTGGCTGTTATCACTGGTGTTATGCCCGGGATCGACCTGATCAACGCTCCGTCCGTTGTGATCGTCCGCGAGACCGCCAGTGGGCGGGAAACGACGCAGGTGGTGGCGGAGACAAGGCGGCGAGCGGCTTATCTTCGGCGGCTTCCTGGTGACCACTCACTGAAGCCGCTGGCACTTCGCTGCCACTCCAATGAACCCAGGGAGCGACCGACTGCCGAGGGAGTACACGAGGAGATGAAGCGAGTGTTACAGCTTTTCACCAGTCTCTCGTTGGTAAACTAGAATCTATTCAGTGCTGCCAACCTTCCATATGTTTCCGTATTTGTACGGAAAATCACTCCTTCATCCGCACGCTCGTGCTGTGCTGTCCATCGTGCTGCATGTCTTCGTCACTCTTCGCCTCTTGGTCACTGCCTGTGTCACCTACGCTACGAGGCTCACCTGTACTACTACTACTACTGCACCCGGCAGCCTGGCCTGGGTGGGTACGGGTACGATTTCTGGACGATTTCGCACGTGTACGCTGGCTCTGCCGAGTAGCTTGAAATTTCGGAGGAACACTTGCCTTGGCAATGGCGGCTTCCTTGAAGGATACAACCTCCGCACTCAGGCCGGACACCTGCCGCGACAGCTCATCAATCCTTTTGTTGAGGCGATCCTCACGATTGGCCGACTCGGACGCTACGTTAGCCAGGGTCTTGATTACTTCAAGCACAGACGACTCGATACCCGGAAGGGAGCACAACAGTTTCATCTCTGCCTCTGAGAGCCCCTTGAGGGCGGTCTTTGTAGCTGGGGGCATGGCGGCCAGAGGTGGGTCAGCCCTGCTACTAATCGATACTTACTACTTGTACTAGTACCAGTCATCTTGGCCACACAGAAGGGCTGCCAGGAAGCCGTGGAAACTAAAAGCTGCGGAGCTCAAAAATTTGCTTCCACTTCACTTCACGACGTGTGTGTGTGTGTCCGAGTTAAAGTTATAAAGTTCGTAATAGAGTGAGGTTTTCTGGAACTAACTTGTGAGAACAATTGATCTTGTCATGATTAGGCAGTAGTGCTACAAAGAGGCAGTTCATATGTCGTCAATGACTGCCATGGGGAAAATCTTCAACATTACATGTATGTCACTTGAAATGTGATCAAACAGACAACAGAGCAAAAGAAAGATAGGTAGAATCCTATCACGACATGTTAAAATAAAAACCGTATCAACGTATCCATGGGTGAACATAATTTTACACATATCTTGTTACAGTCTTGGATAGTTGCTTCATAACTCGTTTCCATGTGATTTCTTCTATTTTATTTGTATTTATTGGCTCAGTATCGGAGTTTTAATTTTATACGGTATAACCAAGAGTCCATAAGCCCCAGAGTGTGCACCGCCACATAAATGTCTGTCACGACTCGTTTTCAACATTACGTCATTTTCATGTAGCTGCGCGTGCAGGCCGCGACATTCGCTACATGAAAATGTACATGAAAATGACGTAATGTTGAAAACGAGTCGTGACAAGACCCTATCGCGCGTTGCACACTCTGGGGGTTATGGACTCCTGGTATAACTATATCACGGTTTTCACCCATGGGTAAGTTGATGAGGTTTTCACCACATCTGACTCAACCTTATTGACTGACCAGTCGACATGTCCACTCAGTTGTGTCACCCTGTTTAGCTACTGTCTGCTGTCCCTCAAGGCTATGCAACATCAAGATATCCAACGGTCACCGCCGAGCACGGTTGAAGTGGTCGAGATTGGTAGAAGCAGCAGCAGGTTTGATGAGGTCATCCAGCACAGGAGCAGCCTCACGCAAGAGAGAAATGCATGAGTTCACCCTGGCAGCGGAACTGTATTCGTGTCCAAGGCAGCTAACTAGAGCCAAGCAGAACTCCCAGAAGCAACTGGTGCTTCTGTGGAGGATGCCCTCGCCGAAAAATGACTATGTAACTTGGAAATAGCAAGGATAGACTACGGCTGCATATGTCAGAAGATGTGGAATGTGTATGCTCGTGCGCCAGTGTGTGTGTGCGCACGTACGTGTGTGCTGATGCGTGCATACTTGTGGTGATGGGGCGGGTGTGTTGGGTGTTGAGACTGTTGATTGTGTACCCTCGGGCAGTGAGAATGTGGCTATTGACCTAGCAGGTGGTTTGAGCTGCGAGCACATTAACCTTTCCTGTGCATGTGAACAGTACCTGGCATCGTATTGAGGTGATCGACACTCCCTTCACACTGTTGCAAACAGTCATGTACATACACATGTACGTCCGTGTACTCTTTTTGCTTGATCACTGCAGCCTCATCTGCCCAATGTACCACCAGCTGTTGTACGTCACCTCGACTCTATCTCCGAACAGCTAACCCAGCAAGCAACGGCCATCACCCAGCTATCGTCACGCAGTGAAGCCATGGAAGAGCAGCTAACAGCCATTAGCCAAAGTCAAAAGACTACAGAACAAGAACAGACAACAACACGACACCACATTGCAGCCATCCACAGTGAACAAAGTGGAAATTACCAAAGAATGACAAATGTTAATGAAAACCAGGCAGTGGTGCAACAGCAGATTAGCAGTATCCGTGATGAGCAGATCACAACAAGCAATCGACTTGACACTTTGACTCAACAACTCGCCTTAACAAACGACCGTACTGCACAAATAACAGAACAACTTGTCTCTACTAACAGGCAGGTGACAACTTCCGTGATGGAGCGCTTGGAATCTTTCCAAGGTCAGATATCCTTGGTCAGTGAACAGCTGTCCAGATTGTCTGCCACAACTTCACAGGTAACATTATCATTGATCTTAAACTGAATTTACAACCGTAAATAATGATATAAATCATCCAGCTTTCTAAAGTTAGTAGGGTGGGTAATCGGAATGCTAAAATGGACCCGAAGGCAATGCCCTTGTTCTCCACTGCCACATCTGGTATCTTTCCCTTTCTCTCTTACTCTCACTCACCTTCTCTCTCTCTCCTCCCTCCCTCCCTCTCTCTCTCTCTCTCTCTCTCTCTCTCTCTCTCTCCCTCTCTCTCTCTCTCTCTCTCTCTCTCTCTCTCTGTCTCTGTCTCTGTCTCTGTCTCTGTCTCTGTCTCTGTCTCTGTCTCTGTCTCTGTCTCTGTCTCTGTCTCTGTCTCTGTCTCTGTCTCTGTCTCTGTCTCTGTCTCTGTCTCTCTGTCTCTCTCTCTCTCTCTCTCTCTCTCTCTCTCTCTCTCTCTCTCTCTCTCTCTCTCTCTCTCTCTCTCTCTCTCTCTCTCTCTCTCTCTCTCTCTCTCTCCCTCCCTCTCCCTCCGTCTCTCTGTCTCTCTGTCTCTCTGTTCTCTCTGTCTGTGTCTCTCTGTCTCTCCATCTATCTCTCCCACTCTGTCTCTCTGTCTCTCTCTGTCTCTGTCTCTCTCTTTCTCTCTCTGTCTGTCTCTGTCTCTCTCCCTCTGTCTCTCTGTCTCTCTGTTTCTCTCTGTCTGCATCTGTGTCTATCTGTCTCTCCATCTGTCTCTCCATCTGTCTCTCTGTCTCTCTGTCCCTCTGTCTCTCTCTGTCTCTCTCTCTCTCTCTCTCTCTCTCTCTCTCTCTCTCTCTCTCTCTCTCTCTCTCTCTCTCTCTCTCTCTCTCTCTCTCTCTCTCTCTCTCTCTCTCTCTCTTTCGCTCTCTCGCTCTTTCATCCTCTTTATCTCTCTATCTTTCTCTCTCTATCTTTCTCTCTATCTCACTCTCTCTTTCTCCTTCTTTCTCTATCTCTTTCTGTCTGTCTGTCTCTCTCTCTCTCCCCTCTCTCTCTCTCTCTCTCTCTCTCTCTCTCTCTCTCTCTCTCTCTCTCTCTCTCTCTCTCTCTCTCTCTCTCTCTCTCTCTCTCTCTCTCTTTCTCTCTCTCTCTCTCTCTCTCTCTCTCTCTCTCTCTCTCTCTCTCTCTCTCTCCCTCTCCCTCCATCTCTCTGTCTCTTTCTGTTTCTCTCTGTCTGTGTCTGTGTCTCTCTGTCTCTCCATCTGTTTCTCCTACTCTCTGTCTCTGTCTCTCTTTCTCTCTTTGTCTGTCTCTTTCTCTGTCTCTCTCTCTCCCTCCCTCCCTCTGCCTCTGTCTCTCTCTCTATTTCTCTCTGTCTGTGTCTATCTGTCTCTCCATCTGTCTCTCCCACTCCTCTCTCTCACTCTCTCTCTCTCTTTCTCACTCTCTCTCTCTCCATATCTCTTTCTTTCTTTCTATCTCTCTCTCTCTCTCTCTGGCTCTCTCCTTGTTTCCGTTTCTAACGTCAACTCTCTAATCATTGTTCCCAGGATGAGGACACTGATGGTAGACGGCGACCTGCAGTTACTGCTGCTCCAGCAGCTGCTACGCAACCGAATTCCGCAAGATCTGCTGCTGGTGACGCTTGGGATGGTCCCTCTGCTGCTGCGCCTGCTTCTGCCTATGCCGCACTCCCCCGTTCCGTACAAGCCAACGCTACACGATCCAATGCTGTAACCGTAAGGACCAAAGGTGCACGCCCTGCTGTTCCCTGTCGCCCGACCTTTTTACCTGCAGGTTTCTCTACAACCAATTCAAGATCAGCGCCCTTCAGCGGTGTCGGACGTTCTTTTGCCGCCATGTTTCGTCGTAGCAGTGCTGCAGCCAGGCCAGTGTCTAACAATGATGTGGTTCTTGCTAATACCACCGCTTTTCGTCGCAGCGGCGCGCCCCTGTATGCAAGACCCAATGGCAATGCAGCACCACCCGGCATTGCAAGACCCAATGGCAATGCAGCACCACCCGGCATTGCAAGACCCAATGCTGGAACGCGCCCTACAGCCTCACTACCTGCTGCTGCTGCTGCTGCTGCCAGTACAGCTACCTCAGGATCAGCATCCACCAGCAGTACCACTCTTGCCTATGCCACCGTTTCTCGTCGCAGTGCGGATGATGCTCCTGCTGCACAAACTGAACGAAGACTATTGTCTCCGCCATTGAGTACGCTAACATCGGAACAGATTGCACATATCAGTAACACAAGACAGGTAAATATTAATGTAAGATGGCGTATTCTCCACTGGTGTTCATATTTCCCTGCTGTAATAAATTAAGAAACTTTTGCTGGAGATGACATTTTGCTATTTTGGTGACCATCACACATTTCAATGTGTTTAAAGAATTGGTTCAGGCAGTGCTTTGCAGTGCTTTGGAAATAGGTATGTCCACCCAGTGCTGTTCTACATCACTCACTCGCGATTGTAAAATTTGGAACCAGGCCCTTCGCAACAGGCCAGCGATGATGATCCTGCCCCTGAGCTACGATGTGGCTGTCACCAAGATAATAATGATTATGTCCGTAGAAAACAGTCTCTCCTCTACCTACATGCGCTCTCACTGCCTACACATGGCTGCCCTCGGTAGCCATCACACACACACACACACACACACACACACACACACACACACACACACACACACACACACACACACACACACACACACACACACACACACACACACACACACACACACACACACACACACACACACACACACACACACACACACACACACACACACACACACACACACACACACACACACACACACACACACACACACACACACACACACACACACACACACACACACACACACACACACACACACACACACACACACACACACACACACACACACACACACACACACACACACACACACACACACACACACACACACACACACACACACACACACACACACACACACACACACACACACACACACACACACACACACACACACACACACACACACACACACACACACACACACACACACACACACACACACACACACACACACACACACACACACACACACACACACACACACACACACACACACACACACACACACACACACACACACACACACACACACACACACACACACACACACACACACACACACACACACACACACACACACACACACACACACACACACACACACACACACACACACACACACACACACACACACACACACACACACACACACACACACACACACACACACACACACACACACACACACACACACACACACACACACACACACACACACACACACACACACACACACACACACACACACACACACACACACACACACACACACACACAAACACACACACACACACACACACACACACACACACACACACACACACACACACACACCATTTTAACTTCGTTGTTTAAAAACAACGAATTATAAGAAGTATCCATAGAAAACATTGTGTGCATAATCATCAGTCTATGGCTCTATTTGTTCTATAGCAAATCATCTCACAAACGTAAGATGCATACTGACCAACTACCACAATCTCAATCCCTTGACAAGACATGCAGAATCCCTGGATTTCTCTCAAAATCCCTGGATGGCACAAAAACAAGTGAAAAAGAGCTTTTTTCGCCAAAAAGCGTTCGACTCTGCAGCTCTAGTAGCTCTGCGTACAGCACAGTTCGACCCGGCTGTAGTGCAGTTTGATCAGTCGGCGCCCGCCTGTCACTTTGTCAGTGCAGATCTTGCAGGCTAGGCATGTCCAGGTCTTGAAAGTGCTGTGCACAGTTCGAAGTGCGAATGAGCACCGTACATACCTTTGAAAAAAGTTTAAAAAACCGGGACATTCGGGGAGAAACCATGGAGTTTTCAGGATAATCCTGTATCAGACAAAACTGTGGTTTTTCCGGGAGTTTGCTTGAAATCCCCGGGACCCCGGGAGGAGTGTTGATTTTCCGGGATTTTCCCGGGAAAAACGGGAGGGTTGGCCAGTATGAAGATGGCTTCGGAAGATCATTGTTTGTAAGTGTGTATGAACCTTCGGCAAAGTTGGTCTCCATATCGAATTTCAATTTGCATTCGGAAAATTAAAACGCACTCAACAAAGGTGGAGCGCCCATTGAGTGCTGCACGCGTTCCGTTCTACTAATTACATGTAGTTTCTTTGCCCAGACGTATTGTGATAGGCGCGTGCTCTACTGGTGCTGTCCGTGGCACAGAGATGATTGGTGGTTAGAGTAGCATTGTTTACGTTAATTCCTTTCGGAAAAGAAACATACTATTATTGTATGTTCCCAATCTTTCTACTGTTCTATGCTGTAGTGGAGGACCATGGGACCAGCAATGGAACGTGCAGGCGAATATTTTCGCCGCAAGGCTATCGCACACAACGGCACACTTGTCATTGTGACGTGTAGTCGCTTCGGAATGGTCGCCAGTATAGAAAGGACACAGGACCTGCGCACATGGCATCGCATGGACCTACCCAGCGAGTACAGCAAGGTGAGCGACCCATCACTTGCGTCCCATGATGGCCACCTTTACATGGTTGGATACAAGTACACCAGCTTTGGACGGGCCCCGAAAATCCTGCGCCACAGCGAGCCGCAAGAGACTGCGGCGGCTACTGTGGATTGCGCTCACCCTGGTCATTGGGAGGAGGTGAAGGATCGGCCGACACTGGCAGGTCATCGAGAGTGTGTGCTGCATGTGTCTGATGACTCCATTAGTCTGATTGGTGGCACGAGGGGCATTGCTGGCCGCTGGGGCAGTGGCGGCAGGCGTGTGAGTGTGTGCTCGCTGCTTAACCAGCAAAGGGAGTCATCCGATTGGCATCTCAAACTGATCGACTCGGCGACGCTGCCCCAGGACTGCATCAATGCATCACTGGTATTGTGTGGCAACACATTGTACTTAGTCGGTGGCTACGGCGGCTGTTTCCTCAAACGCAGCGCAGGTCAGTGGGTGAGTGAGCAGCCCCCGCGCGATATTGACCTACACTGCAGTGCCGCGTGTGCTCTATCTGCTCATAGCATGGCTATTGTGCGCAGCACTGCTCCCGCCTTGTGTGCTGTATATCATATTGCATCAGGTCAGATTAGGCACCTGCCTGTGCCCACCGGTGGTCGTTTTAAGCCGACATCTCTAGCACTTCATGATACTACTCTGGTGCTATGTACCGACGATTGTGGTGATGGTGGTATTTCAACCCTCGACATTAGTGTATGAGCGCATCCACATAGATCCTACACATGTACCCACAACGCACCCCCCCCCCCCCACCCACCCCCCCCCCCCCCCCCCCACCCACACACTCCCCCCCCCCCCCCACACACTCACACAATTCCACATAATAACAATGCACACACACATACGCACACCTACGTTATCACAAAAATAATTTGTCATCATGAGGTTCCCAGATCATAATTGCCACCACCACCCTAACCACTGCCACCACCACGCTAACCAGTGCACTCACCACCAAAAACCTTCGCCACCCTCAACGCTCCACCTTTTTCCCCCTCTCTCTCTCTCTCTCTCTCTCTCTCTCTCTCTCGCTCTCTCTCTCTCTCTCTCTCTCTCTCTCTCTCTCTCTCTCTCTCTCTCTATCTATCTATCTCTCTCGCTCTCTCTCTCTCGCTCTCTCTCTCTCTCTCTCTCTCTCTCTCTCTCTCTCTCTCTCTCTCTCTCTCTCTCTCTCTCTCTCTCTCTCTCTCTCTCTCTCTCTCTCTCTCTCTCTCTCTCTCTCTCTCTCTCTCTCTCTCTCTATCTCTCTCTCTCTCTCTCTCTCTCTCTCTCTCTCTCTCTCTCTCTCTCTCTCTCTCTCTCTCTCTCTCTCTCTCTCTTTCTCTCCCTAGCCCTCTTTGTGATGGCCCTCAGTTATTTTGTTTTCCGCTCGGCCCTCTTTGAAGTTGTACATTGCACTGTTGCGGTAACTAGCTAAAATAAATGCATGAAAAATGAAAGAAAAACATTACACGGGGGACCACCATAAACACTGTCAACGCAACAGCTGGTACTGCTGCCGCCACCACCACCATTTTACTCTATGTTGTTTCTACTATACCACTTAATTAATCTTCACTGTATTCTTCCCAGAGTCACATTGTACGTACATTTAGCAAAAAATTAATATTTATATCTAAATTTATAGCTGTCGGACAATGCTACTTCATTTCCTTTCCGTCAATGTGCTGCTGCAGTGCTGGTCAATACTTTCCCTTGTAGCTCCTTCCTGCTGCTCCCCTGTGAACCGTCCCAACATTGCCTAATGATACACGACTGGCATTTACTTGTACCTATTTGCTGCCCGAATCCGACCAGCCTATCGATATCATTGATAGGCAAATAATAATTGCTGCTGAGAAAAAAACTTGATTTCGTAAAAAAAATCGTTGCCAAGTAATTAGTTTCTACGTAACCTCGTTGATCAAGTGCAATGTCGCACTGCATGCTGTCAATGCACTACAGTGTGCTTTTTTCCGTGTCAAAAGCCTCTTATAGTTTATTTTACGGGCAAACGCTATTACTAAGTTTTAGACACAGTGGACTACAACACTGCATGCTGGTTTCGGCACTGGGAATGCCACTGTGTGTACATTATGTGTTAGCGTTTGCCCGTAAAATAAACTATCCATTGATTTTATGCATCACAGTCGACTAGTCTAGTCGCGGCGGTGTGTTTATGTCATTGCAGGTGTAGTGTGTCGTATACCAGCATCAAAAAAGTAAAAAGTAAATAATTATCGTGTCCGTTCCCGAAGAGAACTCACGCGACGGCCGCTAACACCCGGTAAACCCTAGCGGCATACATGTATGCGGCGCCTAACGGTGGGGTGAGGGGATATGTCTCACAACCACTGGTACTAACATGAGAGGGCTGTTATAACTCAATTGTGCACTATAGTTTAACAGTATTTCTTTGAAACTCGGGTATTGAGCCAATAATAAAAGTAGAAAGGAAAAGGACATTATGGAAACGAGTTAAGAGTAACTCTCCACCACTGTAACTAGATATTATACAGTCAGAAAATGCAACAACTAGGCACACAACTGACAGAGTGCACTGTACTGAGACATTCGACGTCCTGACACCTAGCTTCAACACATCTCCGTAGCGCTAACCGACAGCCTTCCAACTTGGAGGTCATCGTCCAGTGACAATCGACATTCTTTGTTCCGTTGGGACTGTAGCTTGTGCTCGTTTTCGTTGCACTTGCCTTCCCCTCTTTGGTCTTTCCATAACCTTGAACCTTCCAAGTTGGAAGGCTGTCGGTTAGCGCTACGGAGATGTGTTGAAGCTAGGTGTCAGGACGTCGAATGTCTCAGTACTCTGTCAGTTTTGTGCCTAGTTGTTGCACTTTCTGACTGTATATAGTATCTAGTTACAGTGGTGGAGAGTTACTCTTAACTCGTTTCCATATGTCCTTTTCCTTTCTAGTATTTCTTTGGTCCTCCTTTCTTCTTACCGTATTTTTCGGAGTATAGGGCGCACCTTTGTATAACGCGCGCCCCCAATCTTCGTTGGGGGTGCGCACTTCAATCTTCATTGAAGTACATGCATCTCATATTCGGAGCATAGTGCGCACCTGCGATTTAGGGCCTAAAATAGCACATCTAAAGTGCGCACTATACTCCGAAAAATACGGTATTTTTCTCTGCATTCCGGAACCATAATGACATTATGGTCCCGGAATGCAGAGAAAAATTGTGTCAACTGTTGCTATGAAGTTGAAGTTTGGTCTTCCGTGGTGCCCTCACCAAAAATCTGGCCTAGTCGGCCGTCTCTGAAGGTACAACATGTCATCCTGCAGCAAGGGTGTTTTTGAGGCAATGAAAGTAGGTGTAGCGGTACTATTACGGAGGATTAGCAAGACGAAATTCGTGTTCGCGTTCGCTCTCCAAGGTCGAACTCAGTGACGGAATTCGCGTTATGAGAAGGATTAGCAAACAAAATTCGCACATGCATGACGTTGACACGACGTACATTGTGTACAGACAGTACAGCGTGGTAAATTTATGACTGCCCTCAGGCCCCTGACACGAATCCGCGATTCGTGTTCCGACTACTTTTCCGAACGAAAAATGCGAAAGTTCGAAATCCGCGCGAACTGAAAAATAGAGAGGTTAAGTTTCACGTAAAAGTCTTGCGTCCGTGAACTTTTACATCAAAAAGTGAAAAAACTCACATAAAATTTGACGTGTTTTACGCGAGTTGACTGTCCCGCACGTAAGTTCATGACGTGAGTTTTTGGAAGTTTCGCTTGGTTATCTCGACCGAATTTGTGTGAGTTTCCGGAATTTTATCGAGTTTTATCGAGTTTGGTGGAAGATTTGATATTTGTGCGAACTAAATCCGAATCCTGCCAAGCAAAATTTCACGTCACGTCACACATGTAACTTAACCTCTAAAAATTACACGTAACGTGAGATTTGCACCGCGTTTTGAAAAAGGGCAAAAAACGTGTAACTTGACCTCTCTATTGTTTGCGAACGCAAACGCGAATTTCGTCTTGCCAATCCTCTGTATTATGTAGCATTGAATAAAGAAACGGTCTACACCCCGAAATATCACTCACAAACCTGTAAAAACGCATAGGCAAGGTACAGGCACTAGGTATCCAAGTATTGCAACATCAAACGGCATTTGAATCGACCACATTTTGGCTACATACCGTAGAATCCCGCGGATAAGCCCATGGGCTTATCTGTTTCACAAGGACATTTCGTCCATAATTGCCATAATTTATGGACTCTTGGTATGACCTAGGGCCATGGGCTTGTACGATGAAGCTTTGTGATGTTCGAACAAACCCTGGGCTTATGCGCGGGCATGGGCTTATACGCGGCTACAAACGAAAATCCGGTGGAACAAAAAGTGATTTTAAAAAATGTCTCTACTCACGAGTTTCATGCTGAAAAGCAATCACGTCACCAGGAGACTGGGGATACTCGGGGTTGTGTGCTCTTACTAGTCTTAGATTTTCGTTTGTACTACAGTAAAACCTGGTTTAAGCGACCACCCCACGGTGCAAGCAAAAGCGGGCGTTAACGCCTGGTGGTCTTTAGAACCAGGTCCCACAGTGTCTGTGTAGACCTGTTGATGCAGGGGAAAACGGTCGTAAAGAGCAGGTGGTCGCTAAACTCAGAGGTCGTTTACCCCAGGTTTTACTGTATGCTGGTATGCTGTGAGCGCAGTGTAGTGAGCACTGCGGCCGCTAGTCAAGGTTCTTCTGTGAACTTTTCTGCTATTATTTTCAAAATTCGTCTCACTGCAATCGCCCTCCTAGGAAGCGCATCAGTATAATAATAGGGACCTTTCGCATTTGCTACGAATCGAATGCGAAACGAAAGTTTGATTCGGCTCGTAATCGTTTCGTTGAAAACAGAATTCAGGTTTCGCAAGTCGTAATGCAAATGTGCATGGCAACTACGAATACGGCCGGTAGCTTGGCGTACGGGTGTGTTCGCGCACACGTGCATGGATCATGGAATCAAGGGAAAAAATGTGTACCTGGCAAAACATGTGTACCTGGCCAAATAAATGTGTACCTGACGGATTCGGAGCGTGCCACGAATGAAGAGGCTTCCATTCGTGAAAACGAGCTCTCCGCGGCGACTCTGACGAATCCTCGAACCCAGGTGACGAATCAGCATTCGTTTCGTATCCGTACGAGTGGTGCGAAAGGTCCCTAATATCATCGTGAGACGTTCTATCGAAACAGGAGTGGCATAGGAGAATGCCGAGGCGACCAACTAGGCTCCGGCGGATTATGCTCGCGAGATCATGGAATTATGCTTTCATGGATTCTCGCATTATTCGCACAAAATCCTCATAATATGCTTTGGCACGCAGGGATACATATTCATTTTGTTGTACTTATGGAGCCTCAAAGTTCGGAAAATTGTGCCTTTTCGTACTTGCAAGTGGCCATAAGTACAACGTAATGCATGAGTATCCCCATACCAAGGTATCCATGCATGCTAGAGATCAACATGGAAAAGAGAAAACATTACTTCTACTATTCTTTAGTTGACTTCTTTCGTAAAAAGATTTTTTCATTGCCAAATTTGAGTTTGAGTTACCTTGAAAATTATCATGTTCAGGAACTGTCTTCGTAATCGTCATACTCGTCCAACCGATGTTACTCTCACCATGCGAGTAATCAGCTTATCTCTCCCGTAGCTCCACCACTCCTTCCAACATGACCGAACATCACCTATACCTCAATTTTTTTAAATTATTAGAGCAATAACTATAGCCGGCTAGC